GGAACAGGAAACATAGAGGCAGCTCCACAGACTCCTTCCAAAAAATTACACAGTGCTGAGTGACTGTTAGGACAGGACACAGATATGTCTACACAGCAACTAGACACATGTGGCTGGCCAGTGTTAACTGACTCGGGTGTGAGCTGCTTCATTGCTGTTTAGGCTATAGGGCTCGGGCTGGAGCCCAGGCTCTAGGACCCTGCAGGGTCTACACAGCAATGAAACAGCCCCTCAGCTCAAGTCCACAAGCCAGAGTTGGCTGGCGCAGGCCAGCTGCGGGTTTTTCTTCGCTGTGTAGAAGCACCCTAGGTGTTTAGTGGGGTCAGTATAGACGTAATGATGTACTGGAAGGAGTATCAGACCTTGCCAGGAGTGCATGACTGTTCATGTCCACAGGCTGATGACCTGTAAAGACACACACACCCTAATCCTAGTACAGTTACTGAGATAATTCTCTAGCCCAAATGGCAGCTATTTGTGCTTTCAGAACAGAGGAGCTTTAGTTCTACTTTGATTCCTTTTGATGACCATGAAATGCATGCAGCCAGGCAACGTCCTGCCAAGTAGGATGAATTTCAGCAAAGCTCTAGATCTTTACCATAATAAGGAGTATTAACATGTTTATTCAAGACTTGTGTAACCTGGGATCAGACATTCTCATTGTTGCGAGTTGTCACTCTAGTCCCTTGCGGTGATGAGGGAAGTTGTGATGGATCAAATAGATGTGGATTTGTCAGCATGCAGGAGGTTAAGATGGACAAAAATTATCAGAATCAGGATCCTTCCTGCCATGTGAAAACAACCTGATCAGCCTTGACAGTCAAGCTGAGTCAAGTCAGGTGGTAATAACAGCTGTTATAAGTTGTGCTATGAAATCATTAAATACAATCTGTAATGGGCAACAGAGAGTACATACATCTAATGTCCTTCCTATATTTCCTTCATCCAGCACTTCTTCACCAGAAGAAGAGGCTGGTATGGGGAAGGAAGCAGACGTGAACTGAGATGCAGAGCTGCATTTGGGGTTTAACCGCTTCTCTGCTGGATCCTCTTCCTCGCACCTCGCGTGGGACTGACTTAAATGGATGGTTTCATTGGCTGTATCATTAGACAGTGCAAATGTCTGCATTGGCATTAGGTTTGCCCACATTTTTCTGATTGAATGCTTCTTGAAAGCATGTGTGTAAAATTTTTGAGTGCCTAAGTCCCATTTTCAAAAGTGATTTAGGCACTTATGTGCCTAAGTAAGCATTGAAAGTCAATAGGGTTTCAGTTTTTAAGTGCCTAACTCATTTTTTTAAATGGTGCTTTTAAAAAATTTATCCTGTTTTTAACGCTGGAGTTAGACAGGTGTAGTACGGTTATCATTTCTTTCAGTCCTCTCATTACTCAGAGTAGTAACCAAGTGCTTTGTCCAAAAGGTTGAATTTTGGTTTGTAGATTTTGATGGCAATAACAAAGGGGCTCATTTGGCTTTCCTAAGGCATAAGCTGACCCTGAGCCATCAGCCATCAGAGCATTCTGAGGTAATCTATTTTTGATCCACTAAAACCACAGGTAAAAAAACACCATGCAAAGCCTTTTTCCTCTTAAAAACTGCTTCTGTCAGTTCGTGCCAACATATGTATCACAGAGGAAACCACACGTCTGCCCCCTACATCTTGTTTTCTGATAGCACCTGCCACCTTCTGTGTGGTATATGAAAACAAAGAACAAGAAGCCTGGCTAGAAAGATAATAGCCATTGTGGTAAATGGGAATGGCTTTGAGGAAGTCCATGTCTAAGAAACGACTTCTAACATTTAGAAGACTGGCATATCCCAGCGTGTGACCCTGGTAAATGGCTAAGTTCAGAGAACGCAAATTGTGGACAGTGGCTAGCAAGGCCAGAATAGTGAAATGCAGTGTATTGCCAAGTACAATGGAAGTCCTAAACTGCCCCAATCCAGTGTAGTTTGCAGACTGCAGTTCTCATAGGGCAAACCTCTCTTTGTTGAGTTAAAAATAATTACTTCCATGAAGAAGATTCCACTGTCTCCAAAGAGCTCATCCTCTACTATGCAGTATAACTGTATAAGACACTGTCCTTAAGGAACACATGCTAGGAATAGGAGACAGGACTGAGACTCAAGAGCTGGGTTTTCATAGATTTTTAAGGTTCGAAGGGACCATTGTGATCATCTAGTCTGACCTCTTTTCCTGGCTCTGCAACTGACCTGTGTGACTCCAGGCCAGTCACTTGAACTGTGCCTCATTTTCCCCATCTGTAAAATGGAGTGATACTTACCAAGTCAGTGAAGTGCTTTGAGAGCTACGGATGAAGAGCTTTATATAAGAGCTAAATATTATAATGAGGTAATTTCCTGTCTTTAAAGATATTGAGTATAATTTTACTTGGCCTTGATTAGCAGATCACCTCAGTTAAGCAACAGATTTCTGAAGGCCCCTTTAAGTGATCGACAGGTTCGGTCTTGAGTACCATTTGTCCCTGTTTAGTTCCTACGTTTCACAAAATATCTGTCAGCTTTAGCCCTTCTCCTCAGTCTCCTACGCCAATCTTTGAACATAAATGGATATTGAACCTACCTCATTTTTGGTAGGCAGTTCCCCATCCTTTCAAAGAATCTCAGCAGCTCTGGAAAGCAGGTAGTTTCTTCTTTTGGATTCCTGTTTTAGTTGTGTTTTCTACCTGGAGTTTTGTGAATCAAAAACCTAACAGGCAGGTGGAATCACTATCTGACACCATCTGCACGCGCACCCAAATTCAACATACCAAATCTCCACTGCAGATAATCTCTCTTGACAAGTGGGGGTGTGGACAGGAAGACAGAGGGAGGAATTACTGCTGTCACTTCCTGAGATGCTGGAGTGAGAGAGAAGCCAGTTTGGTGCTCATGGCCTAGACCTCAAACGAGGAGAAGTTGAGTTGTTACTGGGGTGTGAGAGTAAAACATCACCGCTGCGTTTTCTTACCAAGCAGACAGAAACCACAGTCTCTGGTTACCCAGCTTTTCTTAGAAACGGAGCGACAAAAGTTAGTTTAAATAAAAAAAAAAGGCAACAAAAAACCAAAACCCACCATCAATACTGAATCTTGGATATATTTCATTTTTGCTTTCTTTTTATGATTCCATTAGGACAGCAGCACAAAAACTCTCCTTGCTTTTCTTTGCTCAGAGCCAATGGAGTTACAAGAAAGAATGAGACCTCTGAAGAATGGAGGAACCTGAAACTAAATCTGTCCGAGGGAGAATTCAGGGACCCAGTGCTTCTTAAATAAGCCGTTATAACATAGATATATTGTTTGTGGGGGGAAGGGGAGGGAAGCCGATAAGACACCAGTGGTGATGCAATAGGCATGAAGCACTGCAGCAAGGTCACCTGAAATGCAGGTCTAACTAGCAGGCAGTGGTTAACCAAAGAACTGACTTTGTCTAGAGATGATTTCACAGCACAAGCTGCAGGGTGCACACTTGTGGCTTTACAGGTGGACATGTTGCGCTGTGAGAGATGTGGCAGCTAAGCAACTTCTCTCTTAGTCTTTATTTACATTACACTTGCTAACTGTGTGTTAACACCTGTTAATTAAGACTGTAATTGTAGCCTACTGTGACAGAGGGTTGTCACAGTTCACTCTCCCTGGTAGCATGGCATGGTTCTACAGGCACCCACCCCTCCATTCCCTCCAGATCCTTGCAATAATTTGCCCATAGGCCAAAATAGTTCAGTTCCTCCTTGTGGGATTTTATTTATTACGCCTTTCCAAAATACAGACACTTTGGTCTCCTTATCCTGGTCATGCTGTAGGTCTCCAAATCCCAGCATGGATTTAGAGGGATTACTATGATACTACAGGTGCTTGCACGCATTGGGTCTACCAACAATTAAGCATGACATCAAGGACCTTCATTTGGATACAGGATTCTTCACTTCTTCCTGTCCCAAGCTGTTGTATGGGTTTGCAGTTAAATGGATGTTGCGCCTCGCTCTAGGAATGGCTGAAATTCTGTGGTGGATGAAGTGAGAGCCTTGTTTTGAGTCCAGGTTACTGGCAGCTCCTTGAAACAAGGCAATGAAAACCCATAACTCTCTGCTTCATGAAACATGTCTATGCTGTACGGGTACAAGAACTGAGCCTATAATGTATTTGAATGTGGCTATTTGTTCGGAGAACAGATTGTGATTTTTTCCTAAAGTTATTCGTTCTGCAATATTTTTCAGCAGTTTCATTCATGGCCTGGGTTGCTTCGATGGGATGGTTCACATGAATCCCACGGCATTGTTACTGTTCCAAGACTGGGTGAGAATAAGTCTGAAGTCCTCTGTTGAGTTACTTTGAACTGGAGAGAGAATCTAGGTCATTATTAAAAGGATTAGAATGTTTAACTGCATATTAAGTTAGGATAGCAATAAGAGTCAACATGTTGTTTCTCACATAGTGGCCCCTGTCAAACTCTTACAGCTTTGCCTTTGCCTAGTTATTACCACAGTATTCCAATGAATTAGGGAATATAGGCTTCTTTGTACCAGTATAAGGAATAGAGTAAATCAGAGTTGTAATAAAACAAACAAAAACAGTCCAGCTACAATATCTATCCTTTACCATGATGTTGAATGGTTATTTCTATTCTCCCACAAAAGTTTATTTACTCTGGGTGAATAAAATTTTGTGGGGCACTGACGGCGGAAACCATGTATTTGGGTTGTTATTACTACTGCAAGTCAGGGGGTTCCAGCACCTATGCTTCCTGCAAATAACAATTCAAACTCTGAATGGTGACCTCGGCAGAGTTTTAACACATAATAAAATGAAGTTCCTGTTTTGATCACTGGATGGTGCAGTTCAACTGGAGAAGTGTCAGTTAAATATTATAATATTATAATTGTATAACACTACTAATTGAAGAAACTGCGATAGCTAAGCCTGAAATGAATCTGGGCTTTTCTCTCTACAGAGCTGTATCCCATCAGTGAAAAATATGGGCGCTAAGGCCAGACCTGATGCAAGTGCATGCAGATTCTTTGACTTCAGTGGAGCTGTGCTGGCTTAACACAGGTATGAGAAATTCTGACGCCTTGAAAAATTACAAGTTTGATATTTTGTCAACTACTGAATTCACCTGTTCAGAACTACAAGTTTTTCCTGTCACTTGGGATCAGTATCCCAATGTTTCATTCCGCAGCTAAAGCTATCTGAATTTCTAGCATCTGGAAAATTGTTCTTGTGAGATTTCCAGCACAGTCTTTCTTTAATTTCAAGTACTTCATATTTTTGGTCGGGCCAGAAACATTGCACCAGGAGAACAGTTTCCTAGCAGGAATCAAGCAACAGAGTGGGACACTGAAAATGATAAATGTAAAAAAAATAAATAAACCACACTGTCAGGATCTCTTTATTTAAAAAGAAAAAAGGAAGTATGAAGGCATGAAGTGATTCAGGTTTCATTTAAAGTGGCAATGAAATACTGAGAATATGGTTCCTTCTTAAATCCAGGCCAGATTACTTGTTCCTGGTAGCAGTGTGATATGCTGGTTTTACAAAGACACCCTAGGGAGCATATTTAGGTATTCATAAAACAAGCAGCCTATTCAAACCCACAATAAAAATGTTTTTTCTAATCATATAGTAATACTGATACTTAACCCTTTACATTCTTTGAGCATTAATGAATTAATCCTCAGAGCGAGAGCTGAGAGAACAACAGGAAATGTTTTTGTGAACCTTTTTGAGAATTTGGAATAATATTTTGATTTGGGCCTGCTGTTTTTGTTTGCCTTTCACAAATATTTGTGCAACTCAAGGATTGTTTGAATATTCATACAAGGACCATAAATTTCAGGCCCGCATCTAAGATTTGCTTAATAAAAAAACAATTTTTTGTGTGTGCCATAACGCTTTATAAAAGGTCATCCAGTCAGGAAACCGAAACAACACCATGGGATTCAGGTAACCAATTGAAGTTTAAGACGCAAATTCTGAATAGAGAGTAACTGAGTGAACTCTCACTTCAGGCTGTTTGTGAGCAATCTACAGGCTAAGATTTGCTGACTTAAGCTACGAAGAATTTGCATTATCAACAAATTAATACAAATAATTATCTGTTTACAGACAATCGACAGTGAGAATAGTGGACTAAACTAACCAAATGAAGAGAACTCTAAGTTCTACTCACAACATCCAATGATGTAGGTTTGTATTACTCCTGTTGCCCAGATGAGGAAATTGAGGCACAGAGAGAATAAGAGACTTGTTTAACACCATCCGGAAAATCAGTGGCAGGCCTTGAATTAAAATTTGGGAGTACCTAGCTGCCAGCCATGTGGTCAGTCTACTAGACCATGCTGCCTCTCTTAAGTTTTAACTATCTTTTATGTGTGTCCTGAACCATTAAAAATTAGAATAAGAACTATGGCCAGAATTGTCAAAACGGCATGATACCCACAATTACAAGCGAGTGAACCAAAAAATGAAAAAAAAAATCATTTTGAGTAAAATGAAACATTTTATTTTAATTGACACCGAACATTTTGTTTGGCTTTTGAGTCTAATATTTATACAAAATTGCAATAAAAATCCTGAACAAAAAGTGGCATTTTCTTTTTGAAAATGTGAAAATGAAACATTTTGATTTTTTCTGATTTTTTTTATTTAATTTAATTTAATTTTTTTAACCAAAATTAGTCAATCAATTTGACACAAATTTGCGAAATATTTTGGTCAACCCAAAACTGCATTTTTCAGCCAAGAAAATGTTTTGGACAAAAAAATTCACCCAGCTCTACCCACAATCTATACCACATTGTCAAGAGTTTGGCATCCACTGTGTTATGTTGAAAGCTGTTGTATGAGCACTTAGGAAATTCTGGCTTTTTTCTTTAGGTGCCGGCGTGGGAGCAGAGCTCTTTTGAAAATCTGACCCTGAGCTTTTCTGAAAGTCTAGTATTCTGTCTTCAGGATTTTTCAGAAAGTATTACACAGAGTTAAACTTCAGGGCTATTGTATATAAAACTCTGATAAGTAGGTGCCAGTAGTTGACTTTCAAAATTCAAAGAAACAGTATCATACAATTTTGTAGTAAACAAATATAATGTACACAGAAAATGTTATAAACAGTATTTGGAATATTCACCAGTATTCACCAGTTCTCTTAGACAGTGTTGCCAACTCTCATGACGATTTTGAGTGACTGGATTTTGGCGGGGGCTAGAGCCCATCTGACAATGACATGAGACTCTCCAGACCCCAGGAGAATTTGAGCCATGCTGGGGAGCAAACCCCCTCTGAATGGCTGCCTGCCCTACTTGCCAGCTTCCTGGGCCAAAGCAACCAATCAGCAGCTACAGGCAGAGCTCTCTTCCTCTCCTCAGCAACCTGACGCCATTCTCATGGGTGAGGGGGAGCAGAACAGCTCCCCTGTCTCCCCTCCCCCTCCCCCCCCCCCCCCCCCCCCGTGAGCAACAGGGATGGGATGGCATCTCTGCTCCTCCCACCATGTAACACCCGGCCTTTAAAGGGGAGTAAGAGACCCTGCTGCATCACCCAGGCCTAGTAGGCTGGGGATGGGGGTGTGAAAAGCCTAGGAGGAGCAGAGGTGAGGCTGGGGACAGACCCGAACCAAAGACTGGAGAGACAGGATTGTTTGCTGGGCAGAAAGCAGACAAATGTGGGGTTGAGCGCTTCTGCAGTGGGGGCCAAAATCACCTTAACCCAATAAATTTGAGGGAAGGTACAGCATTAATTTTCAAAGGGATGGGGAGGAGGAATTGGAATATCAATGGACAGGCCAAAAAACACAAGATCGTCTTTTTTGAGTTTGGCAATACTTCCTGCAACACCCCTGCTATTCCCATTCACCTTAATACTGATTTCCAACAAACCCTCTCTTTTGTCTTTTTAACTCTCACTCTGCTCTGTCCATACATCTCCTTCAAGATTGACACTATACTTGGCTATTCCAGCCCATGTTTCTCCCCTGTAGACACTCATGTAGAATTATGGAGTGTTGGGACCGTGTTGGAGACCTTCAGAATAATATTCCTTGTTATCAACTGGCAGATTGAAAATTAGATCCCCCAACATGCATCTGCTCATGTGACATCTAACCTTTCCCTTTCCCAATATCCCATCTTTTGGTTCTCCTTTATTTGTAGCCAGATGAACACACATACACAACTGCATTTACCTTTAAATTTCCATGAGTGCAGATGAAAGATCATCCATATTAGCTGCCAATACTTGTTTTTCTGAATTACAAAGCAGCAGTAGTCATCAATCTATCCAGGTTTCAGTGGGAATTTCTCATAATTGTTCGGCAGAAGGAAATGTATTGGTATCACGGAGGGGAAGAGTCTAATTATATAACTTACAGTAGATGACGATTTGGCATGTCCCTAAAGGGAGTAGTGTATAAAAAGGGAAGTTCAGAACTGAATGCCTTCTGTTGCCTGCTCATCTGGTTGATCTCACAGCTGAGATGATATTCACATGCATTTTCTTCTCTTGGATCTGGGCGATGGCAGCAGGTAAATTTTCTATTCTTTGGCTAAAATTGTATGTGAAACTTTGTTGACCAAACATCCTGCTAACCTGGTGATGTACAGCTCTTATAAGATCTTTGCAGAAGCCCTTGCTCCTCATTTACCACCCCCTGATTAACACCATCAATGATATAACACTTCTGGCCAGACGCAGCTGTATTGTGCTTGGTGACGTGACCTTGATAGAAGCTGAAATGAGCTTGATAATGCTTCCTCTACTGCCACGGCATTATTCATGTTTCTACTTTATGGATAGTGTCTTTAGTTTGATATAAAAGGAGTGTATCCATTAGCTCGAGGCATGTGTACATATTTATTTAAAAACTACAATAAAGCAAATGAGCCACCTAAACTGCGACTTGCTTTCAGCTTACGTTACGACAGAGATTTTTGGTTATGCAGTGTAAATGGATTCCTTCTGGTCAGGATGGGGTCGTCTGTAATGACTGACATACAGGCTACTTGATCCTTGCCACGCCGCCCTGTGTGAAGGAAATATAGCCACATCGTATTGTGGGACAACCGTCTACCTCTTCAAGAACACTATATGTAGTTTCTCATGCTGAAGCAGCAGTTAATGTATAAAACGCTATTTTCAATGCGGTGCCTGTCGTTGCTGGCATCTTTCTTCACATGCTGGTGTACGGTCCACATACTGATGTAAACCAACCAAGTAATGTTAACTTTGGCTGTGTGAGAAAATTGGTGTTGAGTGAAAGATTAAGACTGGAAATCTCTCACTTGTCGCCTTAATGGCATTTCAACCTGCTTCTATTCATTTAAAGAGAAGGAGGACAATAATTTTTCATGGAGAGCTTCACTCCCATGATTCTCTGGCTTAGAGAGACAGGTTTTCATGGGCATGTCCCCTTCTAGCTGATAAGTCACCAATACTGATTCTCAGAACATTTTATTCTATGAGCCGTCAGAAAGGGCTCTGAAGGTGGCTAGTGGTCCATGGACTGTGTTGGAAAATAAGTTATAATTGAAGCATTCACTCTAAACTTCAGTCTGACTTGACCTAACCTTTCTGGTCTCTGATAGATGTGTATGTAGGGGATGACAAAATGTGTGTTAAGGGCAAGGTGGGGGGCTAGGGCTTTATTAATTCCCTTCCAATTGGACAGATGTCCATAGGGTCCAGAAATCATTAGTATAGTGGAGCTGCTCATTAGCTTAAGAGTAAGTGTTGTGTGAGTCTTTAGTACAGATCGAGCAGACAAATGTCTTCATCAGAAATAACATAATTGCCCTTGTTCTTTTGATCTGAACTGGCTTTCTTGCTGGAAACTTTAGCAGACAGGCCAAGGATTGAATGGGCTGGGAGAGTTGCTTTATTCGTCATGGTGAAGTTTAATGTCCCAGTGTGATTCACAGGGAATCTCTTTATGGAAGGTCTGAAGGCAAAGCATGCTAAGAATTCTCACTCAGAAGTTGCAGAGGGGTGTTGCCTTGGTAAATAATGGAATCTCTGTTTAGAATGTGCCATGAGTGGATGAAAGTGAATCTCAAAATTATGTGTGTGGTCTGCCCACAGGCTCTCTGCAGGTAGTTCATAGGAAGGTCCAATCGTCCAAGACCGGAGAAAATGTTACTTTCCAATGCCAGCTTGTCATGGATCATGAAGTGCTGCAAGTCACCTGGCAGAAGGAGAGTGGAGAGGGCAAAGGCAACATAGCAACCTACAGCAGGATTAACGGCCACAGAATCCTGGGTAACTATAGCAGCCGTGTGACCTTCACCCAGAGCGAGCTGACAGTCTCTGCCATTACTGTTCATGCAGTCACCCTGCAGGATGAAGGCTGTTATAAATGTATCTTCAATACGTTTCCCATGGGATCCATTACAGGCAGGACATGCCTCAAGGTTTACGGTAAGACCTCATCATCACAAAGCGGGGCTTTGACCTTTCAGAAACTCCAGCCGTTTCCTAGTTTGTGATTGTCTTTAGTGGCAGCGCTGGTTAATCTCTTTCTTTCTCAGTGGGAAGGTGACCTAATTTTCCCTTCCTCATTGGTTTTTACCTCTGAGAGGGAAGCAGTGGTGAGCAGAACTGTGTGAATAATGGATTGTTTCAATTCACTGGCAATTAAAAAAAAAAAAAAAAAAAAAAAAAACCAAAACAGTTCGGGTCAAACCAAATTTTTTTTGGCAAATTGTAAAGTAAAAACAACAGTTCATTTGGGGTCAAACAAAAAGTTTAGTATTGATAACATGTAAATGTTTTGTTTAAAATTTGACCATTTTAAAATGTGTTTGCTTTTACTAAAACAAAAGGAAATTTTGACAGTCATTTTGAACTGAAAAACCAGGTTTTGTTTAGAAAGTCAAAACAAAAGATTCAGATTTTTAAAGGTGTTTTTTTGTTTGTTTGTTTGTTGTTGTTTTGTTTTTTACTAAAACACTTCTGGAAAACTGAAGGAAGAAAAACCAGGGGGGATTTTCTTCAGAGCACTCAACCCTATATTCTATGTTGCTCTGATCTGCCTGTTAGCAAACTTCTCCTTTTGAAAAGTATTTATTTTCTGTTAATGCACGTGCTCTCGGGAGCATTTGTTTCTGTGGTTTCGGTCATAATGTATACAGTGAAACCTCACCATTGTTCACTTCTCTAATTGACAAACATCAGTGTTTGGAGTTTCTGAGCAGTATCTGGTGGTTTTGAACAAAAATCTACTGGCTGAATGTTGTTGTTTGGTCTCATATGAGCGAGATGTCTTTGTTTTTAACATACGACTACTTTTACATAAATGGTGAAGGGTTGTTATAAATAAATTAAACAATACTGGTTAAAATGGATGATGGTGGGTCTTGCCATATGGAATGAGACTAATAGCCCTTCCATGGTAGCTGGTAGCAGATTCTTCAGAAGAAGGTATAAAATCCATATATGCAACAATTACATCATAATATGCGTTTGGGTTAGGAGAAATCTCCCCACAAGCACTTAGTGGTTGGTTTGTGAACCATGAGAGTTGATATCCCTTTAAAATCTTAATTTTATTATTGTGTAACTGAGGAAACTTTTATATCAGGAAGTGACCAGAGATGTCTTAATTATGTGGGTGCCAAATGCTAATGATAGTTTGGGGATAATTACATGTCTCATTCTTACTGGAATCCCATGTTTCCTTTTCCCCACACTAACTAAAAGCTAAGGTTTTTGTACTGAGAACTTAGTCAGAGGATACATTCTGGGAAATGTGTGACAGAAACCAGGGCCGGCTCCAAGTTTTCTGCTGTCCCAAGCGGAAAAAAAAAAAAAAAAAAAAAAAGCTGGGGCAGTGCAATCGCGCCGCTTCACTCTTTGGCAGCAGTTCGGCGGTGGGTCCTTCACTCCCTCTCTTCGTCTTCGGCGGGACTTCGGCACTTAGCGGAAGAGAGGGACTGAGAGACTTGCCAACGAATTCCCGCCGAAGACCCGGACGTGCGGCCCCAATAGTGGGCAGAGTGCTGCCCCTTTGTATTGTCCGCCCCAAGCACCTGCTTCTTTAGCTGGTGCCTGGAGCCGGCTCTGAGAGAGACAGGCCGTGGCTACACTCAAAACTTCAAAGTGCTGCTGCGGGAGCGCTCCCGTGACAGCGCTTTGAAGAGCTAGTGTGATTGCGTGCCAGTGCTGGGAGAGAGCTCTCCCAGCACTGCAGGTACTCCACCTCCACGAGGGGATTAGCTGGGGCACTGTTTACACTGGTGCTTTACAGTGCTGTAACTTGCTGTGCTCAGGGGGGTGTTTTTTCACTCCCCTGAGCGAGAAAGTTGCAGTGCTGTAAAGCGCCAGAGTAGCCAAGTCCACAGTCTGAGGGCCAGAGGTTGCACCCAAGTACAGGAAAGGCAAATTCTGCTCCCATGTAAATGATGGCTTTAATGATGGAATTATAATGCGTGGAACTGCTGAATCAGATCCCAGATGCATTAACTTGGCTCTTTGTTCTCTAGTGAATGGATTGAATTCTGTAAAGTTTACTGCATGTGGGTCTTTCAGATGAAACTGTAAAAGCCCAGGTCCTGACTGATCTATGTGGGTGTTACGATCCCAAGGCGTTCTTGATAAGAGCAGGGATTTGTCCTGATACCGGTGGCCAAAATTCTTTCTCTCCTCACACTCCTGTATGTAAACCTTACGGTTATCATCATCTGCTACAGAAAGAGCTGCATTTCTGAGGATCTTTTTGTATCCAATAGAGTTTATAAAGTACTTAGGGATCCTGTAGGGTGAGATAACAACTTCTAATTAAAAAAATAGCAGTAGGGATTGTGTTATCTTGGTTGGTGGGACTTCACCCTCACAGAGTAAATATTGTTCTACATCACTCACTTGCCCACCCTGTGAAGGAAGAGGGGTTTGAGGCTAAACCAGCAGGTGACTGTATTAAAAAGGATGTTGGAAAAGACTCTAGTTATGTTCATAGGGCCACTGATCTAGGGCTGGCAAATACTGGCTATTGTCCAGGCAGTTTACAAGAACACTTAATAATTCCAGACAGGAACAGGCCAGGGAGTGGTTTGTTTTAAATGTTTAAACTTTCTAGGTGCTCGAATAGGACTGTAAGACGTCTCCTTATCAGGGATGTTAGTTATTGATGGACCATACACACAAGAATCTTATCACTGTTTAATACATAAGGCAAACGTACCTTTTCTGAAATATATAAAATAAGATTTAGCATTTGGATGGATTCCAGATCATATCCTAAGATCTTTTCCCCTTGTTTCATATCCAGTGCTATCCTCAAAAAATATTTTGCGCACTCTGTCCAAATAGATTACAAATCGTTTTCCCCAGCACAGGCACCTCATTTTGCATAATTCATTTGTCTCTGTCTCAAAGCTACTTAAAGCCCTGATTTATGTATTTATTCTCATTGCTATTAATTGGGGGTTAACATGTTTAAAAAAGTGTGTGTGGGGGGGAGAGTATTCCTACTCTCTAGGGACATGATATGAGAATGGCCCCAAAGGCTTTCTGAAACCTTCAGTCACTCACAGCAAGGTGCAAATCAATTTATGGAGATCCCAGCTTGAACTGAAATTGTCAGTTTACTTGTCCTGGAGGGGTTGGTGGGGATTACAAGGGAGTTTACCTTCGAGTGATTACCTGGCAGTTATGACCTCTATATTTCATATATGCGTTATTTCCCGTGTTGCCACCATAACTTCTTTCTACCTGTTTAAGGGAAGTGAAGTCAAATCAGGTGGTGTATACCATACTTGCAGGAAGCATAGATACGGGGGAATGGATAGGTTTTCAGGTGGGAATTTCAAAGCTGCCTTGCTAAAACAGGAGGGAGAAACCTTGTGAAAATGGTAGTGTGTAGGAGACACTTCCTTAGTTTAAAAAACGTCCAAGCATCCCCTCCAACATGTTTTTTATTACATGATCTCTTTCAGAATTAAAGATCTACAAAATATTACTAAAGAAGAGTAAATAGAAGTTGCTGAAGATTAAATCTGAGGGAGAGAAACAATTGTTAACTAGTGGCTAGTTTAGGGAGAATCAAGATTGGCCAGTTTACAGAATCCTTTAGGAATTTGTTCCCGTGTATCTAGATATGTTATAAATAGCTTACACATAGCTGGCACCAGTCCTCTGAAGATCTCAAAGCATGGTGGATAAGTACTATCCCTATTTCATAGATGGAGAAAGTGAGGCGCAAAGAAATTGAGTTACTTGCCAAAGGCCATGCAGTGAGTCAATGGCAGAGGCACTCCCAATTCCTGTCTACAGCCACTAGATACAATTGTAAACCCTAAAATAAGACCCAGTCCTGCTCTCATTTGAAGTCAGTTGTAAATCTTCCACTGACATCAGTGGGATCAGGGACAAGCCTTAGAGTAGATCATATTCTCTATATCTGAGTGTCCTTTTTATTATTTAATAATAGACAAAAAAATTAAATATAACCAAAGTTATTAAGTGTTAGTAAAGATGAATGAAACATTTTTCATCCTCTGTATATTGGAGTTGGAGAGCTAATTAGGCAGAGAATTGGTGAGATCAGCTGTATAGGTCTTCTGTAATGATCACTCTTTGTTCTAATATGGGTAGGCAGAGGACGGTCTAGTCAGAATTGGAAGGAAATGAGATTTGGGACAATAGTTCTATTCCATGCTGCCATTTACTCGTATGTCTACACAGGAAAAAAGTATCCGTGGCGGCGAGTCTCCGAGCCTGGCTCTACAGACTCAAATTCGCGCTATGGCACTAAAACTGGCCGTGTAGACTTCCCTTCCCCTTCTTGGGGCGCCAAAGCTCGAGCTCCAGCCTGAGCCGTAATGTCTAGGCAGCTATTTGTAGCGCCGTAGTGCGAGTCTGAGTCCACAGCCTGAGGCTGTGAAACTTGCTGCCACCTTATTTTGCTGCTGTGTAGATGTATGTGACTTTAGGCAAGCTCCGATACCTCTGTGCCTCAGTGACTGCTCTGTGAGCTGAAGACAGTCACGCCTACCTGACTTGGTAAAATGATTTGAAATGGGAGGTGCCATATAAGTGCCATGTATTCTTATACATTCTTGTAAATGATTCTTTGCTGATGCTCCACTAAAGCCCTCCCAGTGGAACGTTGCAGGAAACATTGGCCCATGTGATCTGTGTAGGCTTTGCTTCACTGTTTCTGGATGTCACAATCCAGTATTTGAAGCCGATGCAGTGGGCGGAGGTAGTCAAAAGCTGTTATTTTTATGTACCCTGTGAAAAAAAGAAGAAGTTCAAAGAGTTATTTGTGAACCGAAACAGAATGCTCTTTGTGAGACTGAGCCCTTCGATTTCCAGACTTACATGGGAGACTTTGAGAAGTTCCAGCTGAAATCCCCATTGGCTCTGACCCTGCAGTTTTAAGAAAAACGCTATTGTAATTTATCAGCACTATCAGTTGGGTAATGTGACAGTTCCTCTCTTGATCAGTGATGCGGGGAAGTGAGAAGCTGATGGTGAAGTCTCATGAGCAAGCACAACCACCGTAAACAAATTAAGTATGACTTGGAAAAACTACTCATGCCATACAATCTAATGTACGTGAAATTCATTGTAGGGATAGAGACATAAGATAAAAAATAGGATCAGCTTAGTGTTCCCCTCCAGAATGTCTCTGTCTCCAGCTCTGAGTATGGAATGGCTGTAGCCTCTCCATTATTAAGGTTGCCACATGATGTCCTAGTTTTGCCCTCCTACCACTATGGCTTGGAAAATTCATCCAGTCTTGTCAGGTTCATATTGAATGGTACGGGGGCAATATAAACTTGCTGATCCCACACTTTCCTTTAAGTTACTTTCTTGTCTGTTCCATGAATATGAATTTTTAAGAATAATATCGTCATTTACCTGTGCAAGAGGAAGCAATGGTTTATAAAACACTCATAAACCTGGGAATTTCCAAAAATAAAAATGTTTGTTTAAAAATCGGTACAGTTGCTAACGACGACAATGAAGTTATCGATCACATCACTCACAAGCACAGCACTTCGAAGTTAGGTAATGAATAGTTCATCACAGCATAAAAGTTGCATTGCCCACAGCAGAACTCTTAGCTCTGACTCTAATTAAATTAGAGCTTCTGCGGCTGCAATTACATAATACTCTGGTCAAGATTTTCAAAAATAGGTGGCTACATTTGGGCTCCTAATCCCATATTTAGGCTCTAACCCTGCACAGATGCATCACTTACATGTGTGGTCGCACCGAACGTCATGGAACTGTTCACATGGTGAAGTTACGTGCCCACATAAGCCTTGGCAGGATGGGGGAATCTGAATCAGTGAATTGGTTTTCACCAGTGCTGAGCACCTATCAGCTCCTGTTGAAGTTAATGGAAGCTGCTGCATGCTCACTCAGCACTGGTGAAAACCAAGCCTCTTAGGTTTCTAAATCCATATTTAGCCACCTAACTTCAGGAACCCATTTTTGTAAATCTTGTCCTTAATAATAATAATAATAATAATCTCTACATGTAAACACACCCTAAATGTCATGTAAAAGAAACGGAAAAAAAAATGTGCACATTCATGACATACACTGATCAGCTGCGGGTACATGACCACATAAATATGCAGTAAATGTTATCATACATTGATTGGAAGTTGTCTGTGTGGGGAAGCTTGCACTACTTCTGTATAAACAGAGAACTTCAGTTGCAGGGCTGAGAGCCCCAGAATCTTTCATCTAGCAGTAATTCCCCTTAAAAAATTAAACAGAAAAGAAATAGAAATCTGGCTGAATGGAGGTGATCACTAATTTTAGAGCTATCTGATTTCTTACTTCCCAAGGACACCACCTGCTGCTTTTTACCAACTCTTTAGCACTCTTGTTGAAATCTGATAATGATGTTATTGGGACTTGGTCTGTGACACCCACGTTTCTACTCTCCCCGCCTCTGATTTGGCTGCTTTCTTCTATGATGAATGTGGGAATTTTGCTAATATTTTTATTATTCCTATGCATGCTTCAGATTCCCTCTGTGGTTTGAATTGCTATGTTGAATTGCGAGCCCAAAGAGTTTAAAAAGCTGCTTTTGAGGCAGCGCAGAAGATGTGAGGTGTTGGGTCACCTAACTGTCTGGGGTGGTTATTTAAGGACAGGCTGAAACCGGCCCATATTAGTGGAGGATCCAGGAAAAAATGTGGATAGATAGAAGCTCTTACCCGTGAGACAGACAGACAGACTGAGAGAGGGAGAGACAGAGCCAAGATTGCTTCTACAGCAGCTTGGCTGGTTAGAGCCCTGACACTGGCCAGTCTGAAGTCTGTGTTGGCCTTTGCATCTCTGTACTAACTAACTATAGGACCTGGTGACGCTGTGTTCCAGTTGGCTAACAAACCCCACTCTGTTTTGGAAAGGCTGCCTGAGATCACTGCAAATACTAGCTGAGGTGCATTGATCCCAGAAGAGGACAAAAAGACTCCTCTTCAGAGACCATCTCAATTGGACTTGCGAAGCAGAGCTCATGGTGTGAAACAGGCGTGCTGGAGCCCAGAGGCTCAGGCTATGTCTACACTAGAAACGAGACAGTGGCACAGCTGGAGCAATGCAGCTATAGAGCTGTAGTGTACACACAATAGAGTGACAGAAAGGGTTTTTCCTTCCCTGTAGTAAATCCGCCGCTCTGAAAGGCTGTCTACACTGGGGCTTAGGTTAGTTTAACTATGTCTCTCGGAGGTGTGAATTTTTCACACACTGGAGCAATGGAGTTGGACTGACCTAACTTTCCTTGCGTGGATCAACCCTCAGCCTTGGAGCCATTGAGGCAGCGTGGGATACCCTTAAGGAAGAGTGGGATCCCCCTGGAAGTCTGGCGCACTGAAGGGGTTTCTCTAAGGGATTGTTTAAAAGCTATGGCATAGTGCAGATCCTGTGCTTCCATGACTACCTCATTTTGGCATCGTTGTCTGACGTTTTGAAAGTCCACGTGTCACATGCTGGGCCCTGTCAGGTTGAGACGACAGACAGCACTGAGCAGTAAAACCAAATGCCGTGCTTGTTCTCTTCAGTCAACAGCAGACATAGGCACCAAGTTCTTCTTTGCTGAAGCATGCTCACTAAGCTACCGTAGTGAGAGAGCTGCAAGTGTTAATAATGGGTTTTCCTTCTTGTGCTTAACAGCAATATCGGAGCCCAAACTGGAGGCCAAGCTTGTGTCCAGTCCAGACAGTGGTGAGGAGAAGGTGCTGGAAATAAGCTGCTCAGTAACAGGGAAACCAGCTCCAATGATCAGCTGGAACCTGTCCCATCGCCTTCAGCAGGAGCCAGGACAGTATCTCATCAATCACTCAGACCAGACTGTGACTGTTATCAGCAATTTCACACATGACCCCTCCAGGATTCACTGGGAGAACCCAGCTGGCTGTGTGATCCAACATCCGCTCCTAAACCTGACGCTGACTCTGTCCAAGGATGGGCAGGTCCAGGGTGAGTGTGAGCTTGGTGTGGGGAAGAGGAAAAAGGAAGCTGTGTCCTCTGATACAGGAGGGAGAAGAGTAAGAGACAGTTCAAAGGAGGGGAGCCAAGGGCAGAGGAAAGGGAGGTGACCCCAGAAAAGCTGGAAGAGAATGATGGAACTCTTGGTGCAGGATGGAGAGAGGACAAGGATCTTTAGGGCAGCTGAGAGAAGTGGGGAGGTGGGTCTGGTACACATGGAAGAGAGAGAAGAGTGACTGGTGCTGACGCTCACCTAACACCAGGCCACAGAAATAAAATGGCCCCCATAAAAACCTTGGGCACAAACTGTTGTGTATATAAACAGTGCATGAGGCCCTGGTGAAGGAATTTTGTTTGGAAGTGCCCCTCGTATATGCCGCTGCATGTGGCCCCTCTCCCTTCTCTGTCAGACCCTTGTACCCGTAGCCTTTCCTTTTCCTTCTTTCCCTTGGAGAATGGTGAAGGAGTGTCTGACAGATAGTGGCAGCCCATGTTAAAGGCTTGCTGATTTTCCCTACAGGCCAATCAGCAACAGTCGACGCTGTAACAATCTACATATTGGTTGCTTTGATTCCCTTGGGGTTCTTGTTCATCTGCTTCTGCATCTTGTTCATCCGCTGGAAGCGACAACACCAAATGGATAGAAACAAAGCTGATCTATGTTGGGTGAGTCTTCCCAAAATACCTCTCCGGGGGCTAGTCTGTGCTCGTAAATACATCCATGGCTGCTACACACTGGACCCAGACTTTAAACATTGGGCTTGTTAATAGTTGTCAAACTGGCCTCTTAGTGTTTTTGTGATTCCTGTTTAATCTTGTTTGAGAATATGACAATGCTGCTGTAACACAGTCAAACTCAGGCTTCATTCTTCGAAGGCACAGGGTTCTTCTGATCCTGATAGTACAGGTACCTATAATACAGAGCAGAGAGAGACTCAGGGGTCTGTAGGGAACAGGGCTCAAACTAAAATGGCTCAAAAACAGTTTAACATGGCTGAACAACTTGATTAAATAGCCTAATAACTGTAAGCCACGTGGCCTAAGCCTTTTGGCTCCTTTACAGGGCTCTGTGTCCATGGCTTGGCCTAACGTAGAGTTAAACAACAAACTGAAACTGTGTTTCTGTAGCCACATATTCCTAATACTTTGAACCATTTTATATTCAGGCAATAAATGTTTTAGACTCTTGAAACCATAAACTTATAGTACACACCTGTAATGCAGAGCAGAAGGTGACTCAGAGATCTGTAGGAAATAGGGCTCAGATTAAAATAGCAGCCCCGTACCCGAGCCAGGGTAGGGAGTACCTAGAAATTACCCCATCTATTTGTGTGCGTGTGGCAGAGAGAGGTGTGGAGAGGTAGGTCCAAAAATTCAACCACTGTGCAAATTTCACTATCAATGGAAAATCATAGCACTTCCTTTTGTGCATGCCTTACACTGCTACTTAGTTCTTGCCTATTACCATTCATTTTTATATCTAAGCATTTTGAAAAGGGAGGGTGAATATCATTAACTCCATTTTCAGGTAGGGAAACTGAGGCACAGAAAAAGTTAAGTGACTTTCCAGAGATCATCCAGATCTGACTCCATCCGTATCCACCCATCTATGATGCCTATCTTGGTGGAAGTAGTGTTTTGAGAAACAAAAATGGAAATGGTTTAGTCTGATTTACAGTATGGTCCTTAAACAGTTTTCAGTACAAGATCAGGAGAACCACTGCTGGAAAATACTTTTAGCAACAGCTCAACATTGTAGAGAAAGCAGCACTGTGCAGAGAGGCTAAGATTAAAGATCATTTGTGGAGGCTGTACTGCTCTAATCTCTGGAGTCCCATTGGTGGAGCCATGCGGGAGAACCTTGTCCTCCATTTCTGGTACAGGCAGAAGCAGTCCATCAGCACACAAGGCAGTCAGCCTTGCGCCTTACTCCAGCACTAAAATCATTCACTTTTTTTAAAAAAGCCATGTGTTTCTCTTCTGCCAGGTTCTTCCCTTATGCACCAAGGACATGAGGCATGGACAGTGCACAAAAAATGATAAACAAGGCCCTGACAAGCTTCCTCCCTTAAAAGCCCTCTTGGACAGATGAACACCTGGTGTTGGAAGAATTTTGCTGAACAGTGGTGAAATGAAAACAGTGCTGGGTTTGGATGTGTGAAACTGATGTCTAGCTGTACTTGTAACATCTCAGACTTCCACATGAATCACATTATGTGCAACTTGCCATGTTTTATACAAAAAAAAAAAAGAAAACCCACAAAATATTTTTATATCTATTTATGTTTGAATAAATGAGCCAATAAGCATAGTTGTATATAGAATGCAGTAGGTATTTATATGAGACTGTTAAATTATAGTTTTGTAGATCTGCACAATAAAATGCAGTTTTGTATTTTCTGACATCTTTGTATTATGGGTATTTTTTGTTGTTGCTTCTAATGCCATGAGCCCCAAGGCTGTTTCTTTGAGGCCTGCGGGGCTGTGCTGGATTTTATGATGCTGGAAGTCGTGAATTATCTGCAAGAGGGAATAGATAAAGCATGAATTAACTTTGCAGTGGGTTCTCCTCTGAGAGGTGCTGCAAATACAGTGATAGACAAAGAACACTGAGAGGAACCAGCAAAGCAGCAGCCACTGGTGACCCCCATAATAAGCTTCTGTAAGACATGGGGACTTGAACCTAAAGAGATAAACCCAGAGGCTGCAGCAGGACCAGTAACCACCCTGAGAAACTGGAGGCAGGAGCAGGCCTTAAGCCACGAACCGTCTGTCACGGGAAATCTGTTAACTGGCACTAACAGGATCTTGGGGCTTGTCCTCCCCTCATCCCTTCTCCATTCCCTGCAACTAACTTCCCTTTTTTCCGCAGTGTCCTGCTCTGACCACAATTGGTTTCTCCACGTGCCTTGACTCCCTTGTATCACAGTTGCAGGAAGGAGTTTGGAGTAGGGCATTGGGGGTAGACGATAAAGGGATATTTAGCCCAGCAGGGAGAGGAGGCCATGCTCCCAGGGGGGACAGCACAAAGGAGGGGGAGGCACTGGAGAGTGGGAAAGGAACAAAGTTATGGCTGGGCCTTGAAGCAAGGGAACACGGGAAAAGAAAGGGCTGGTGCTTGAAGCTAGCCAACCTGTCAGCAGAATGAGTCTGGACAGAGGAGAGAAGTCAGGACAGGAGAGGATGTAAAGAGAGCACCCTGGGCAGCAGCTGCAGGGGCTGTGTGTGGTGGTGGTGTGGGGGAGGGGGGGTTATGAATAGTGGGAGGGAGAGGAAGGGGAAGCTCAGGAGGCAGAGGCTGAAAGGGGGTCTGTTGTGGCAGTTGTGTAGCAGAAGGGAAAAGCTTAGAGAGCAGCTGGGTGTGGAGGAGAGGCTGAGGGCCCCCTTCTGGGCATGGAGGGTTCTGAAGAAGGGTAGAGGGGCGTAAGGTCAGTATGGGGCAGCAGGTTTCTGGGAGGCAGATGGAAAGGGGAAGATGGAAAAGCTGGGGCTGAGAGGGAAGATTGCTAAGTTGAGGGGGACAGGGAGGTTGGGGCTCCAGGAACTTCGTGAACACTGAACACATCTTCTGAGCAAAGGAGGAGAAAACTGTCAGTTGGGTCTATGGAGCAAGTGTTTCTACAGCTGCCAGATTGGTGTTTGAAGTTGCAAAGGGGATCATGGGAGGTTGGGATGGGAGGTGTCCAAGAGGCAATTGGAAGAGGAGGTTCTGGATAAGGCCATGTCGAGCTGGGTTTGGATGGGTTGTTGGATGGGTGGGAGAGGCTAAGTGCAATGGTATGTGGACTGTCAATTTGCTCTGGTAAAAACCAACGACCAGTGCATTTAATTAATGATTTGGAGCCACATTCCTTTCCATCCTTAATGATGCCCAGTGTTCTGGTAAAGCCTAAAATTACAACTTTTGCAAAGCAGAATTTAAGTGGGGGAAGAGCAGAGTAAGGGGATAGATAGGGTACATGGGTGAGTGAATACAGGGTACAGGCAGCATTTATTATCCACTGTTCAAGTCAACTGGAACTGGTCAAAATTTTTCAGAGTAAACTTTTCTTTCTTGCCAAAAAATAGTATCTTGAGGTTAACTGATGCATTTTGTGAATTCGTGTCAAATTTACCAAATCTGTGATTGGAAAAGAAAAGTGAAAAAAATTGAAACATTTCATTTTGATATTATTCTAAATGAAACATTTTGATTTCTCTTTTTTAACATTTCACTTTAATTTTTGAAAAACACCTCAAACAAAATGTTTTGTTCAACCCAAAAGAATTTTTCCCCTTTTTTTTGGCCAGAAAATAGGTTTTTGGTTTTTTTCATTTTTGGGTGGATCCGAATTTTTTTTTTTTAATTTTTGTTTAGCCGCCGAATTGAAAAATCAGTTCTGCACGTGGTTCTAAAGTCAACTCGTACAACAAGAAGCCACTTCAGATTGGTAATTAGTGAATCATTTGTAAACAGCACCAAATCCTATGTGTTGTTTACTGAAAATGCACATCCAGAAGGGAAACAAAAAAAATAGTAAGTAAGAAAAAGCCACCAAGATGTTGGTGTGGGGACTGAAACTGGGCTCCGTGGGCTCTGGAATCTCCCCTTGCTTTGGGCGCCAGTAACAGGTGAGTGTAATCTTTGTTTCGCATCACTTTTGTTTCTCAGATATATGTTCTGAATAATTCAGTCCACACTAGAGCTGCAAACAAACAATTTGAAATGAAAGCGTGTGGAGGAGAGAATGAATAAATATAGTGTTGTCATACAATCCTTTATTAGTATCATTAAGGGTTAGTAATAGCGCAGCTTGGCAGTTACTGGGGAAAGGAAACCAAAAAGACGCAGCTGGAAAACTCTCTCAATTGGGGAATTTTTCATTTTTCACCAGTCATAATTCTAAAGAATTTGAGAAAGCTTCCCAGCACTTACAGCTCAGATTCTCTGCGGAGTTGAGCTAATAGAAAAATAATCGAAGTTCTGGTGGGCAGAAAAAGTGGGATGTGCTGGAGAGGATAGAGTCCAAATCCTGAAGTCCCTGCTCTCCATTGGAGCTCTGATTGAATAAGGACTGAGAAATGAACTGTGCAGTCCATTAGAGAGCCAGGACTGGTCTCTTTGACTCATAAATTAGTATTTTTAATAAAACAAGCTTCTATAAAAGTTAAGATGAATGGAAATATTTCCCCTTTTTAATCTTTTTCAGAAATAGAGAAGGTTTGGACTTGGACAATGAATGGGACAGGTGAGAGAGGAGACAAATAAGACAAGTTGATAGATAAAATATTTAATGGTACAAAAGGCAAATCCGGTGCTCCCATCAAATGGTACAGAGAGGGTAAAGCAGGTGTTCCAGTTTACCCTCTCATAATACAAGAGCAAGAGGCCATGCAATAAAATTGAAAGGCAGCTGATTTAAAACTGATAAAAGGAACCACACAACGTGCCGGTAGAATTTTACTGGCATGAGATTTCAGGAAGGCCAAGACTTTGGCAGAATTCAAAGGATAGGGTGTTTATGAGAATAACTAGAATGTCTGTAGTTATATAGTATTTTTAAAAATGTGTGAAATGCAGAGGTGTGCCCAAGAGTGGACGGGAAGCAATATTCATCTTAAAAAACAATTATTTCTGCTCTGGTCACGGCTCTGACATGCCCCTCCAAAAGTGGTTAAATTCAAATTCCTGCACATAGCACTGAAATGGATAAAAGCCTTCCTGTGTCAGGGTACAAGCCAATATCTAACGGAGGGCGTAAGGAAGAAACCTCTATTATAGGCAGATAATTAAATAATTACCCACTTGGGGTTTCTTGAATCTAACATGTAAGTATCTGATGCTGGCCTCTGTCGTTCTATTGATGACTATGATTGATGACTGAGCTAGAATTGCATTATTTATATTCCTAAGGAGGTCAGGATTTTTGTTTTTTGTTTTTAAGAAACAGTCCCCTGCAATGTTAGCAACCCAAATTTTGCAACTTTTGGCTAGTGTGAGAGAGCTGGAAAGTAAAACTGACTGGAAACAGAAGTGATACAGTCCAAACTATTTTTGTGATTTGAGGTAAGTGACATGCAAAAAGCAAACTACATAAATGATGGAAAGCACGAGATTTTCAAAATCTATTCCATTGTAATAATCTAAGGGTACATCTACACACAGCCACAGCTGGTCTGGGTTAGCCGACTCGGGCTCGGGCTGCAGGGCTAAAAATTGCTGTGTAGACGTTTGGTCTAAGGCTGGAGCCCTAGCTCTGGTACACTCCTTGCAGGGTCCCAGAGCTCTGGCTCTAGCCTGAGACCAGACATTGACACAGCAATTTTTCATCACGCAGCCCAAGCCTGAGTCAGCTGAGCCAGGTCAGACGCAGGTGGGGTTTTTTTGTATCCCCATGTAGACATACCCCTAGGTGCTAGCACCTTTAAAGAACCGTATTTAAAAATATGATTTTTAACCAGTGTCCCTTCAATGAATTAAAATCCCAGTCCCTCATTGGGGATGATGGGAAGAGGCAGTGTAGTCTAGCATTTCCTGTGGTTCCAATAGCTGCTGAGCTGACCAGAGCAAGGATTAAGAAAGAGATTCTCAGCTATACTGCGGGCAGCTTCAGCCTGGTTAATGAGTCGTCCTTAACAGGGGAAAGGTTCCAAAGGAAGAAAGTCTCTTTTGGGCTGCAGATGCATGACTCTCCGGTCAGTCTGAGAGTTCTAACTCTCTGGTCACAGTCTGAGACTTCACAGTCTGAGAATCTGAGAGTTCTATGAGTGGTTCTCATACTCTGGTTTGTTCTCCTGGCATCTAGGCAGTTTTTTAAAAAAGATTAAGAGGAGTGGGAGGGTGGGGATTTGGGCATCTGTTAAAGATGGAAGGAAACATGGATAAGTTAGCACAGCTTTCTCCAGTAGAGATCACTGATGCATAGAAGGGGAAAACCAGGCGCTGCAATTTGAAAGGGAATGCCTTGGCGGAGAGTTGGCAGCCGGTTTCAAGCGGAGTGCCCCAAGGGTCGCTCCTGGGGCCGGTTTTGTTTAATATCTTTATTAATGATCTGGAGGATGGTGTGGACTGCACTCTCAGCAAGTTTGCAGATGACACTAAACTGGGAGGCG